ACTCACTCATTTGTGTCCTTTTTTTGTGGTGAGCTACAGTGTCATTGACACTTTCATTTATGTATTATATTTATTTAAAAATTAGCTTATTTTAATAGTCGCTAGAATCAATCCTCTTATTATGAATCTTGTTAATTGTGTAGCAGCGTGGCTATCATAATTTATTCCACCTCTGCCAAATATGAAGCTGGTCCATACAAAATAAAGTAGTTATCATGAGTTATTAGCTACACTTGTGTTCACAGCCAACGAGCCAATACGTAGAGAAGACATCATCACCTTCCCCTTCGGCAGAAGACCAACCAGACTGGCTCACTGAGATGGCGCTAGCGGAGATGGATTGGTCAGGAGATCCGGACAAGGCTGGCAGCACTCCGGTATCGAATCTGTCTAATCAGCTTTATAAAGTAATGAATTGATGTAAATCCTAGAGTTCTGTTTGAATTTGTAATAATTGGTCTTTTATTAACCTTTTTGTGAGATAATTTTTATTTTAGGGTCATTAAAAATTATAAACAGTTCAAAGAAGGTAGTAATTGTCTGAATGATCAAGGGCAATATTAAAGCTGTATTTAAAATGTACCCCCTAACACTGTTTTACGAATGTGGAAGGAACTGATGTTGGCAATGGAGATGGGCTAATGAAAGTTTTTGCCTGCTTGTGATGGCCTTCGATGATTTTCGCTCTTATATCAAAACAGTTATCCATCATGCATTGTTCATTCATAGGTTCGCGATGAGCCAGAAGTTGTGGAAGAGAAAACGGAAACCGCGAAGAACCCGATCGACTTTCTCACGCGCATCGTAAACACGGCGAAGACGAAACCCGTCGGCATGACGACCAGCTTCCTCGACAATCTACAGATGCTAACGAGCGCGTCGAAGCGTGAGCAGCAGCAGCAGCAGCACGCCGGCGATGCGATGAGTCCCGCGACCGTCGCCGCGAACGGCAAGGCTCCCCCGCTCGTCGGCAAGATGCCGTCGCCTCCGAAAGTGCCGCCGCCATCTCTCCCGCCTGCGAATCACCCCGTCTCTCCCGCCCCCGCCCCCGCCGCCAGGACGGGTTCCCCCGACCGCGCGCAGCCGCTCGACGTGTACTCGCTCTCACAGCCTCCGCCACCGCCGCCGAGCAACACCACTCACGGCGACGCGGGTTTTGCGGCGGAGCGGGGGGTGGCGCCGGCGAACGCGTTTGGCTCGTTCATGGCGTCGTTCGCTGCGGCGGCGACAGCGCCGCCCGCCTCCGCGGCGTACTCCACGTCGCAGTTTCCGACGTCGGCGGGGGCGGAGGCGGTGCACGCGGGAACGTT